TTGCCTTGTCTTCTGTAATGTTTGAACTTAAGGTGCTGGAAGTTGAGGCAAGGCAGTGAACGAAAAAAGTCTGTGTGAGCCACTTGTGATCTCCAAAGAGGTGACTTTTACCCTCTATCAAGAAGTGGGAGCCAGCTTAGGCAGGACCTGAATTCTGATGACAGCATGGACTTATTGAGTGTGAGGCTGTGGGAAAGGGTGGCACTCATGTGTAAGGATGATTTTCAAAGGCCAGGCATGTCAATGGCCCTCAGGCTCTGCTGCACCTCCTTGAGATCTGCTGGTGCCATGAAAAGCCTCTATGTCCCCTACCCCAGTGCCACTCCCATGCCCCTCTTCATCCCTCTGCTCCCCATTTGTCTCCCTCCTGTGTCTCTCTGTGTCTACCTGCACTCAAGACTACCTGGAGCCCTCTCTCCTAGAGCGGCAGCCACAGATGAGAGAAAACCTATCAGTGACTGAGGACAGCCCAAAGGCTCCAGGAAACAGCCACCACTGTGGGCTGCTCCCACGTGCTTCCCTTAAAGGTTGCTAGCAGTGTATTGATGATTTTCAAGTATTTGAGCATCCTCACGGCCTTTGAGGTCAACAGGCTTCCTTGGAGAGTGGCAATTAATTCTACTTTACCGGCCAGGGAGGAACTGTCCATGGTGCTGCTTCGCATTCAGAGACTACAGGGTTGCTGTGTGTTAGGGGCCACCTGGGCGGGGATGTAGGCTTGAACAGCCTCCTGTTTCATGGTGCAGCACTACAGGGACAATACTTACCTTTGGGCCAGTGGAGAGCAATCGGGACTTGGGAAGGAACCTAAGAGGATAGGACAGGCTGATGGGGTGAGTGAGGTGAGGTGAGATAGTGAAGGGGCAGGTACTGAACAAAATTAGTCTGTCTAACAGGCAGGCATGATCTTCAATGGATAGGGTACTTTCCAGTCAAGTGTAGGCCAAGAAACAGCAGTCAAGATTCCCTGGCCGGGCGGCTGGCTCAGGCCTACAATCCCAGCACTTTGGGAGACTGAGGTGGGCGGATCACAATGTCAGGACTTTGAGACCAACCTAGCCAACGTGGTGAAACCCAGTCTCTATTAAAAATACAAAAATTAGCCAGGCATGTTGGCATGCTCCTGTAATCCCACCTACACAGGAGGCTGAGGCAGGAGAATCTCTTGAACCTAGGCGGCAGATGTGGCAGTGAGCCAAGATTGCACTACTAGACTCCAGCCTGAACGACAAATTGAGACTCCCTCTCAAAAAAAAAAAGAAAGATTCCCTGGCCCAGGAAAAGCGTGTCACAGCAAACACCAGAGTCCAGAAACGGACTCTGCTGGTAGGCACACTTGGAAGCTCAAGCAAGTGGACTTCTCCTGGAGTGACCTACGGATAGCAAGCTCCCAGTCCCCAGGGAGTGTGTTGTCAGGGTGTCAGGGCCCCAATCCCTGGAAAGGAGATAAGTACCATCAGAATGAGAGAACCTGCGTGGACTGGAAGGGTGTTAAGGGCACCTTGATAAGTTATTCCTGCTTAAGTGACTCTTGCCTTCCATAAGGTTGGTTGTGAATCCTGGAGGTTGTATATGGAGAACAAATGGCCCTGTGAGAAAGGGTGGCCACTGGGCAACCATCCCACATTGATACCCTTTGCAGCAGGTCTCTATGTTACCTGTTCTGTTATAGTTTGAGAAAACCTTGTGTCCTGCCAGACATTTAACGGACTTCACACATCCTGCCTGCAGAGCTCGCATCAGGGTATCTGTGGCTGTTCCTCTAGCTATATCTGTGTTTGTATCTTGATGCTGCCAAGTGTAGGGAAAGCAGTCAGAAGCCAAAAGTCAGCAGAAAACAGCTGAGATAAATGATATACAATGCAGAAGGAATGCAGATGGAAGTAGATGGCATGAGAGTTTGAAGAAGCAAGGAGCCATGAAGTGCTAGAGTCTGCAAGGAGGCTCTCAAGCTCATCTCACTGTTTATATCACAGATTACTAAATTTCCTGCTCGTGTCAAAAATAAGTCATTGCCAGTTGCTCTGTTTGGAAGAAAGAATCATGGTTAGAATTATTTCACTTAGAAACTCACGAATGAAACTGTTGACTCCCAGAAAGAAACTGCAAATAGTAAGTCTTACCAGCTGTGAGTTCGAGTAGTCTGTGAGAGTCGAATTCAGATATTTTATTTTTTTGAGAAAAGCTGGAATAGAATGGGAAGCATTTCTGCTGCCAAGGTTAACAGTAGGATGGTGTTTTAAATTTGATGTAGCTGTGAGGGAAGGGACTTCTGCAAGCATTCATGTGTTTGCTCATTCAGTAATCTATTCATCAGTGCAGTGACACAAAGTATTTAGAGAACACAGCACCAGTGGCTAAGGAGCTTATTAGAGAATGACATCTTAGGTGTGCTTGGTGTGGGTTAAATGGTGCCCATCCAAAATTCATATGTTGAAGTCCTAACCCCCAGTGACTGTATTTGACTAGGGATCTTTACCGAGGTAATCAAGTTAAAATGAGGTCATAAGGGTGGCCCCAATGTAATGTGACTGGTGTCCTTGTGAAAAGAGGAAATTTGGACACAGACACCCACAGGGAGAATGTTGTATGAGATGGAGGCGGAGATCAGGGGCTGCTCCAACAACCAGCAACCCACCGAAAGCTTGGAGAAGGACATGGGACATATTCTCCTCCACAGCCTCAGAAGAAACCACCCTGGTGACACCTCGATCTTGGGCTTCTTGTCTCCAGAACTGTGAGAGGATAACTTTTCTGTTGTCCAAGCTGCCTGGTCTCTAGGACTTCGTTACAATATCCCTAGTTAACAAATACTTTAGAAAAAGTAAAAAGCGAGGCAAAGCAGAACTTGCATATGCAACAGGTACCATGATGCTCATGCTTCTAGACGGTGAGAAAGGCTGTGGGCTGGATTACTCTGGCACGGCTTCACAGAAAAGTTGAGCTGAATGTTTAATGGAGTGTGGGATTGGTCTGGGAAGAGAAGGGTAGAAAAGGAGAATCATATTTCCTGCCCTTCCTATTTAGTCAGTTATGGAAAGCATATTTAGGGCGGCTAGAGGATGCCAGGTATGCTGCAAGGTGATGAAGCAGTGAATTGAGTTTGAACAATGCGGCCAACGTAGCCTTTCAACGGGAAGGAGGGTTCCAACAGAGGAAACAGCAGGAAGAAGGTGACGATTTGAAAATGAGTCTCCTCATTCAGGCAGCTTTGGTGCTTTGCCCACTGGTCATATAAGAGAATCCTGGGAGACAACCTATGAGTAGTATTTGACATCTTGGGATGTGGGAGGTAATCAGATTTCAGTGATGATAGAACACTTCCATCTCTGAGCTGGGTGTTTCCCAGAGAATTCCAAGGACAATTGACCTCTAACACCTCTCTCTGTGGTTAATTTGCTAAACACTCATCCAGAAGCAGCCATTACCAACATCACCTTCAGGTTCCCAAAAGCCAGGCATTTTGTTCAGTAGAGTTTGCTCCAAGGCTCTTAATTATGAGTTTGGATCCCACCTTTGGACTTGAGGGGCTTAGATATTATCACTTGGGTGGGCAAACTATTCAGTTAAACACACACACACACTCATATACACAGACTCAATACACACATGCGCACACCCAACACGCGCGTGCACACACACTTTCCGAAGATGGGTTTTCTCATTGGTGAGATGAGCTCATCTGGACTTGCTGTGAGGGTCCAACAGGTGCTGTGGCATCGTGTCTGCACCCGGAACGGGCTGGGTGGAGGTCACCATCTCCTTCCCCCTTCCAGGACTGGTTCCCGTGGGCTGGGCCTCTGCTCTTCCCACCTCACACAGCCGCTGCGTGGAACAGAGCCAGCCGCGGGAGGCCTGGGGTCCCTGCGCCTTCCTTCAGCCCCTCTTCCGAAACCTTGATAATGAACTTGTAAGGGATGCGACAGGGCCACTGCATGATGGGTTTGGTAACAGCTTTATTGAGATGTGGTTTTTACCATAAAATTCACTCATTTAAAGCATACAATTAAACACTGTTTCGTCTATCCACAGAGTTGTGCAACCATCACCACAAAGGGTTTTAGGACATTTTTGTCACCCCTGAAGGAAACTGTGCCCCTTAGCAGTCACTCCACATCCCATGTCCCCAGCCCCTGCCAGGCATCTGCGGTGACTCTGTGGATGCACCTGTTCTGGACGGCTCCTGCACATGGCATCCTATCATGTGTGTTTTCTTTGACTGGCTTCTTCCCTGAGCGTTGTGTTTTCAAGGCTCATCCAGGTGGTAGCCTGTGTCAGCACTTTGTTCCTTTCTTATGCCAAATAACTACCCAGTGCTTTACGGCCTCTTTCCACATAGGCTAGTATCACCAGTGTGCTTGGATGGATTGGGATTTGCCCACTTTGCTGTTCTAAAAGCTAGAGAATTCCTTTTTTATTTTTTCCTCCTTGCTATAGAAACCAACTCTAAGTGATAATTAAAAGTGTGAGCTTTGAATTTAAACGGCCTAGATTCCAAGTTTGCCATGTCATTTCTTATGTGTATTACCTGGGCAACTAATAACACCTCCTTAGCTTAGTTCTCTTACCTTTATTTTATTTATTTATTTGTTTATTTAGAAACAGAATCTCACTCTGTCACCCAGGCTGGGCTGCAGTGGTACAATCTTGGCTCACTGCAGCCTCCACATCCTGGATTCAAGCGATTCTCCTGCCTCAGTCTCCCGAATAGCTGGGATTACAGGCATGTGCCACCATTCTCAGGTAATTTTTGTATTTTTAGTAGAGACAGAGTTTCACCATGTTGGCCAGGCTGGTCTGAAGCTCCTGACCTCAGGTGATCTGCCTGCCTTGGCCTCCCAAATTGCTGAGATTATAGGCATGAGCCACTGCACCCAGCCAGTTTTCTTATCTTTAAAATGGGATTAACAATAATACCAAACTTACAGGAATCTTGTTAAATTTAATAATTTAATAAGCCATTAAATCACATGAAACTATACCTGCTACATTTTAAATATTCTTAAAAGCTAAATATTTTATATCATATTCTGCTTTTAAATATAAATAGGTCACACAGTACATCAGCCTGCACGTACAGGCATTTCACCTTAAAGTTACTAAATGCTTCAATTTATTACAAACAAATGCCCAGAAAGCTCAAGTACACAATTTCCCCTGTATTTTTATGAAACAAAAATTGGGATTTTTACCAGTGATCTCAGAGTAGTTTAAATTCTTAGGATAATTTCTTAGCCCTTGATGAAAGAGTCTCTTCATTCTTTTGGATGATCGGTGGAATTGTCCTGCTAGGGAAGATATAGCCATTTATTTCTCACTAAACCATGACTTGTACGTAGGTGAGGTGGCCCATAGGGAGCCTGCATGTTTGGCCAGTCCATTCCTTCTGTGGACTCATGGAAGGCCTCAGTCTATGACCAGGTGTAAAGAAATCTGTAGTCATGTGTGTCTCCCTGATGTCAGTATGCCTGGATCATATTAAATTGCTTTTCATCACTGATAACCTTGCTTTCTATTATTCTTTATTCTATTGCACTTGCACAGAAGCTCCATGGTGGAGAAATTGGAAAGACCAGTAAGAAAGTAAGGAGACAGGATCTTGTGTATCCCGGAGGGGTTCCCCAGCCCTCCCAGCCTAGTATGGGTGTCTCCATTGCACATCCTCCCTCCACAGCCTCACCCCATCAAAATTTCCAACACTTGTATTCAACCCCTGTGTCTCATCCACATTCCTCTCCATCCAAACCCACACTTAGACATTCTCAGAATTTTTCCCACTGAGGTCTAAACAACCAGTGATGATTTAAAATATTGTAACTGGGCTTGAGGGGAGGCCCATACCTTGACATGAATCTCATCTGCAGCAGGTGGCAGGATTTCAGGCAGCACTCAGAGGAGGAGGGGTGTAGTTTAGGGACAGTGTTTCGTCCTATAGTCCTTAAACCTGCCCTGGACGTGGCTAGTTCTGACATCTTGAATAATCCTGTAGTATTGTGTTTACATGGGATAACACAAACAAATCATCTGGAAATAAAATGAAGGGGGAATGAGCCAAACTACTTTAGGGTAGCCACTTTTAACAGTTTTAGGGGGTCAGTTCAAAAGTCTTTACAACTCAATTCTAAAATATAGAGTGCCCCATTTTCACCTCCAGGGGTCTGACACCTAGTGTCAGGTTTACAGTGTGCTACAGGCCATTCATCTGGGCCCCAGTGGGCTTAGGAAACAACTTAGTGACTGGGAGATCCTCAGCCAGGTGCCTGGTCCTTTGTTGATCTCACCTGGGGTCTTGTCACTGTCGCAGCTTCCCTGAACTAGGCTTCCCCTTCCACTGTCCACTTACCAAAGAGCCACACCATTTCTTCCAAAACTCTCCTCTTCCTTCTTCTTTTTTTCCTCTCTTCCTTCTTCTCCTCCTTCCAGCTCCTAAAATAGAAATTAATGTAGTCCTGGCCCAGCAGATGCTTCAGGGATCTGTGTTCTGCTCCTAAATGCTCAGACACTCATTAAAGTCATCGTAAGAGAAATGGAATTGTCGGGTCCACAGTGGATGATCCCTCAGTACATCTTGAAAGAATACCTTGTTAAAAAAAGAAGTGTCGTATGCCTGCTGAGGGGAGCCCTGGGAACCTGTAAGTCCATCTCTGGGCAGGGAAGCTGACCAGAGAGGCAGCTGTTGACATGCAGAGAGAATGGGATGTCTGAAGACACCCTCTGCAAGCTCATGCCCAAGAGAGGATCCCAGGGACAGGCTGCTACTGAGTTTCTCCTCTAAGCAGAAGGTATAACTTCATATTCCAGGAGGACACTGAAGATGTCTAAGGGATCCTTTTCCCTTATTTTTAATAACACCATCTGCCAGTGACAGGAAAGCTCTAAGTTGCAATATTGATCTTGTCACTTTGGGGAACAGTTTGATATTTGGGATTATAAATAACATTTTCATTTGCTCTGTTATTGTGCTCAGGCAGTGTTTGACGGCTGAGGCCAAGAATATTATTTTCTTATCAAATATGAGGATACATACTTTTCCTGAGGTCTGAATTTTGGGTTTTGAAACAATATTAACACATATTAAAGAGGAAGAGTTATTCTGAAACCTTAACAATGCAGAAGGGGTGTAAAATTTTTCTCCTTTAAAATAAAATAGAGTATAATATGAGATGGTGTTAGCAATAGCTGGCTAGCGTTGATTAACTGGCTAAGTCAGAGTTGGATTGGAGTATCCGATTTAAGTATCACAATAGTCTAACAAGTCAGAACAGCACTGCCATCCTTATCATGATTCAGGCCAGCAAACCAAGACAGCCACTGCCCAGGGCTAGGAAGTAGCAGAGCTGGGATTTGAACCCAAGCACACTGGTTCCGGAGTCCATACTGTGAATCATTATGCTCTGTTTTTATTTGCACCTACATGGGAATAGATTCTCTTATTATTATGCTGTAGATACCTTCAATATTTCTTTCCACATTTAAAAGTATTCTCTCTTGATCCTCATGAAAATGATTTGAGATCCATAGGACAAATACTACTATCCCCATTTTACGAGTTAAAAACCCAAGGCCCAGAGACATCAACGGATTTTCCCCCAGAGACATTAACGGATTTCCCACCAGAGACATTAACAGATTTCCCACCAGAGACATTAACGGATTTCCCCCCAGAGACATTAACAGATTTCCCCCCGGTGCCATATTGGAAGTTAATGACAGATCAGTGTTCAAATATATGTATCTCTTTGATTTGAGCAGCACAAAATTATTATCGTTATTGAAAAAAAAAAACAATTGATCCATTTGAAAGATAAGCTAAACTGTGCTTTGGGGTGGCTCATCTGGTAAAGGAAATGCACGCTGGAGGCCTAGCCAGCGTTTTGCTAGCAAGCTCCGGAAGAACACTTGGCTTATAAGCTCTTAGTGGAAAGGGAGAATGGCCAGGGCCTATCACAAGCTTCAGATACTTTCCCATCGACCATCTGTACTCCCTTAGAAAGCATCTGATTTCTCATACGGAATTGAGGTCCTGAATTTTCAAGGAAAATGGTAAAGCAACCCCCAAAACGTGTCTTTCTAGTGTCTTAGCTCTTAGCATCTTCCTTATACGGTTGACCCTTGAACAATGCGTGTTCGAACTGGCCAGTTCCAGTTGTATGCAGATTTTCTTCTGTCTCTGGCACCCTTGAGACAGCAAGACTAGCCCTTCCTCTTCCTCCTCCTCATCCTTCTCATTCTGGTCAACATGAAGATGACAAGGATAAAGATCTTTGTGATGACCCACTTCTCCTTAATGAAATGAAAAATAAATACATTTTCTCTCCTTAGGATATTCTTAATAGCATTTTGTTTCCTCTACCTTATTATATTGTAAGATCACAGTATATATACATAGAAAACGTGTGTTCATCAGCTGTTTATGTCATTGGTAAGGCTTCTCGTCAACAGTAGGCTATTAGTAGTTATATTCTGGGCAAGTCAAAAGTTATACTACAAGGGCTGGGTGCGGTGGCTCATGCCTGTAATCCCAACAGTTTGGGAGGCCAAGGCAGTTTGAGACCAGCCTGGCCAACATGGTAAAATCCTGTCTCTACTAAAAATACAAAAACAAATTAGCCAGGCGTGGCTGTTCACACCTGTAATCCAAGCTACTTGGGTGGCTGAGGCAGGAGAATCACTTGAACCTGGGAGGTGGAGGTTGCTGTGAGCCAAAATCATGCCAGTGTACTCCAACCTGGGAGACAGAGTTAGACTCTGTCAAAAAAAAAAGTGATACAAGGGTTTTCAACTGCTCGGAAGTTCAACACCTCAAACTTTTGCATTGTTCAAGAACTAATTGTGTATGCATTTTGTAAAATTGTTCAGAATTGTATTTATTATTTTTGTTGTAGGTTTTAAAAGGAAAGGGATCAACTCTTCGTTATTTTCATCTCTGTGTTTAGCTAAGTTTATGTCCAGTGTGGTGATTCTAGTCGTATTTTAAGATACTGCCAGCATAGATTACCTCTGTTGCCTCTGGAGAATGCCACATAAATCAAGGTCAAGTAGTAGGGATGAATTAATTCACTCTTTCCTAACCGACGAGCCTTGCCTGACTGTGCACACTGATTTCATCTGAATACAGTCAACAGGCTTTTGTCTTTCAATAAGCTTTTCCTTCTGTAATAAGAGTAGGAATAGAAAATGCCCACTAAGCTCTCCATCTTCCATCCCACGCCTCAGCCAAGGCAAGAAAGAGTGAAATAATTGCTAGGATATCACAAATAACTATCTACTGTAAAATCATGAACATAGAGCATATGTTAGAGATGTTGGAATCCTACAGCCTTCATATTTAATGCTGTTTCCAATCAATGTTCCCTGAATATTCCCAGTTTGATGATATAGTCTAACCTGCCAACAGAAAGGATTTATCCTGAGATTCGTATTCGGTTTTCCACCTGATTTCTTTCAGGGTTGACTCCATTTCTGCAAGTCCTGGTAATGTGCATGGTGATAACTCCAGCATTCTCTTATCAGGATATCAACAACGACAGTTTCTTCATTGCTCTCAGTGGGTTTTATGTAGGATGGACAGTGAGGTTCGACCACTTGGTTCATTTGAAATGGGCACTATTTCCATCTTGACATGATATAATATACTGGATATTTTTATGATTTATTGGTGGCCTGGACCAATATACTTTGGGTCAAAAAGTTGTGATTTAAGGAATTCAACCTATGAATAGAAGGCTAGCTTGTTCTCAGTCATTATGTGACTTGTTAGAATGTTGCGAAGTTCCATTGATGACAATATGGATTAAAAACTTCTTTCTTATCAGGTGACTGTTTTGCACCAATGATTGGGCGCAAATAGAAACATATTACCATACAGTGGGTGATTCAATATCAATATGCTTGTGTGTGTGTGTGTGTGTGTGTGTGTGTGTGTGTAGAGAGAGAGAGAGAGAGACAAAGAGAGAGACTTTTATCCACATTTGGGAAGACAAATATATTCATAATTTTGTTTTCCTTTAAAATGTACTAAATAGGAGAGGACCTTCCTGTGTTTCCTGTTTATCCAAATTCTCAGTGTTCTTAAAGATCCGATTCTGGCAGGTCACAGTGACTCACACCTGGTGTGGTAGTGAGTACCTGTGGTCCTGGCTATTTGGGAGGCTGAGGTGGAAGAATCACTTGAACCTAGGAGACGGAGGTTGCAGTGAGCTGTGATCACTCCACTGTACTCCAGCCAGGGCAACAAAGTGAGAACCTGCCCCCCCCCACAAAAAAATCCAATTCGATCCCCATCTACTCCAAAATCCCTCTTTATTTGTTCTTATATTGATTAATGTATTCTTCCTCAAAATTATATTACTTTCTGACTCAATATCATGCAGCCCAGTAGTTATCACATCTTGAGTTTTCCCCTGAAGGTAACACATGTCTAACATTTCCCATATTATGTTTCGAGTTAAAAAGAGATTGTCTGCTAACCGAAAAAGTTTCTGTGAAAACTGCAGAAAAGAGCCATTTCTTACATTTCTCTAAAATATAGCCCTGTGTCATCTCTTGGTTTTCCACCCCACACACTCATTCTACTTATCTTCCTCTGGCATTCACAGAGGGCTGAGTTTCTAGTAAAATTTAATTAACTTTTTTGCATGTGATGGTTCGGTCTCTTTTAACTTGAAGAAAGGAAGGCAGTGTGATAGAACACAGGAAGGAGCTGTTGGTGGGTTCAGAAGTCACTCTGGGATTTTCAGTATTTGTGTTTCATTCCTTAGAATGCACTGTCAATTTCCTCTTTGAGATGCTCTCTGAAACAACAGAGGGACTTGTCACTTGTGCATGCCCCAGCCTGGCACCTTTGAAATCTTATCCAGTCTTGCGACCTACCATTTCTGATTTGTCTGACCTTGGCATGTACACACCCTGGAGCAGGCCTCTTGACTTCACTCGGGCTCTGGAGTACCACGTATATCCACAGCACTCCATAAATAACTAATAGTGTGAAGCAGAGACAAGATCGACTGGCAGACTTTGTAGAATGTAAACTCTGGTAACACTGACTTTAGGAGGTGATGTGTGCATGTATATATATATATTCACACAGGCTAGTGTATGTTTATATATATCCACATAGGCTAGCACATGAAAACTGACAGTGAACTTTTCTTCTAGCTCTGACAGAGTAACTGGCATTGGGCATTCCCTCCTGGCATAAACAACTGTAAAGTTGGTAAAATGTGCATGACAAGTCTTTTAAGGCATTAAACAACAGTCAACCCAGAACTGTAATCCTTGAGAGAAAGAAAACATGGGAGATGAGGCTCAGATTTCCCCAGCACTCTGCCTGGGACACTTCCCTGCACATCTCCAGCAGAACTACGGTCTCACTGACCTGAGAAGGAGATTGGAGTTGTGGTCTCAGAAGCAGCTGGGAGTTGGGGAGCCGAGTGCCAGAGGAGAAGCTGAGGATAAGGGTTTCCAGAAGTCTTGATGAAGACTCATTGCTGGTTCTTGGCCGAGGGCTGCCCATGTCATGGCAACAGTACAAAGGACCTAGCAGTGGTCACCTTCAGCAGGGCTGGGAACGAGTGAAGGCATTATTGCTGTGCGCCACTGAGAGATGCTGGAGCCCCATCTCAGCCAGGATGGAGAGACTTCATTGAGCATCTCAGTCAGGCATTCAGTTGAAACCTCAGAAAGTCCACACCATAGCAGTAAAAGCTAAACCCTAGAATAAGGGCCACACCTTAGTCCATAACTAGAATAAGTTCATGTCTGTGAAAGAAAAAAACATGAAGCTCAATATGACCAAAAAGATTAATTGGCAATTTCCCTGCTGCCAAAACAAAACTCAAGGCACTTTTAAGTTAAAAAGACATTATCTAGAATCATGAAAACATTTTATCTATAGTATCCAGAATAAAATTTAAAACAATTGCTAGAGTTTCAAAGAAACATGAATGTAAGACCCATGATCAAGGATAAAAACAGTCAATAGAAATGAGCTCTGAGATTAAGATGCTCTTAAAGTTGAAATTTTCAGAGAAGAATTTTAAGACATTTATTACAAATATAGCCAAGGGATTAAATGGAAGCATGGTCATAATGAGTAAACAGGGAAATTCGCAATAGAGAAATTATACTATAAGAAATAAAATTTTAGAACTGAAAATATCTTAAATATGTAAAGATGGGCACAATAATAATTAAGAATGGCAGAAGAAATGCTAGCCAAATTGAACACAGATCAAGAGAATTATTCAGCCCGAAAAGCAGAGAATTAAAAAAAAAATTGAATGATTGTATCTCAATGACTAGCAGGACAATATCCAAGTGGTCAAAATATGTGTAAGTTGAGTCTCAACAAGACAGAGGTGAGAAAAAATTGTAAAATAATAAAGCTTTTCTAAAATTTAGCGAAAAAATAGTTAGTTTTATATTTCAAGAAACCCCAGTGTTATAAAAACAAAGAGAACCACTCCTATGCCCATGATAACCAAATTACTGAAACTCTAACAAAAAGAGAAAATTGTCAAAGCAGCTAGAGAGAAAAGACACATCATATACAAGGAAACAGCTCTAATTCACAGTTGAGTTCTTGTAACAAGATGCAGAATAATATTTTGCAGTGCTGAAAGAAGAAAAAATTACAACTCTATTTACCCCAAATTTTATATAAAGCAAAAATATCCTCTATTGTGGTCAAAATAGAGATATTTTCAGATAAGTGACAAACAGTAAAATTTAGAGTTAGCAGACCGATGCTGAAAGACAGTAAAAAGAAGCTTTCAGAGGGAAGAAAATGAAACCAGAACATTATAATTACAGGATGACAGGAAGGATAGCAACAACAGTAAGTATGCTAATAATTAGAAAATCTCTGTGTGTTTGTTTCTTCATTGTTTTGAATATACTTGACTCTAAAATGTATGACAATAGCAACATAGAGGATACAGGGCTAACTGGAATTAAACTGTTATAAATGTTTTAAGTTTATGTAAATTGATATAATATGAACTGTATGTAAACTATGAGTAGATAAGGATGCATGTTGTAATCCCTAGAAGAACAAATTAAAAAATAATGCAAAGAGGTATATCTAAAAGGCTAACAAAGGAGTTGAAAATTGAATGCTAAAATTCTTAGATTATCCCCAAAGAAATTGGAGCAAGAGGAATAGAGAAATAGAGATTAAATAGGACACATGGAAAAATATACAAGTATAGGAAACTTTAAACTTTTTAATAATTTCACTAGATGCAAATTAATTAAACATCCCCAATGAGTAAAGATAATCAGTTTAGAGGTAAAAATTCAAGACATAACTGTATATCTAAAGAGACTCACTTTTTTATTTTTATTTATTTATTTATTTTTGAGATAGAGTCTCGCTCTGTCACCCAGCCTGGAGTACAATGGCATAATCTTGGCTCACGGCAACCTCTGCCTCCCAGGTTCAAGTGATTCTCCTGTCTCAGCCTCCTGAGTATCTGGGATTGCAGGCATGCACCACCACACCTGGCTAATTTTTTGAATTTTTTGATAGAGATGAGGTTTCGACATGTTGGCCAGGCTGGTCTTGAACACCTGACCTCAAGTGATCCTCCCACCTCAGCCTCCTAGAGTGCTAGGATTACAGATGTGAGCCACCACACTCAGCCTACAAGGAACTGACTTTAAATACAGAGACACAGATAGGTTGAAAAGGAAAGAATAGTAAAAGATAAACCATAAAACAGTAAGCATAAAAAAGCTATGGCTATGTTGCTATCAGGAAATGTAGACTTCAAGATAAGGAATATTGTCAGAGGAAAACAGATATCTGATAATAATAAAATGGTTAACTTATTAGAAAGATATAAAAGTAAAAACATGTATATGTACAGTAGCTGAGCTTTGAAATACATGAAGTAAAAAATTGACACAACTAGATGAATTCACAGATATTTGGAGATTTTAACATCTCCCTCTGTAACTGTTAGAACAATTAGACATAATTCAGTAAGTATTTAGAATATTTAAAGTACATAGTCACCTTGACTTAGTTGACATTTACAGATTATCCTACCAATTGCAGAATATATATATTTTAAAGTGCAAGTAGAACTCACATTATGTTGATACAATATAACACCAGCAAAATATTGAGTCTTAAAGATTATGTCCTTTAACCACAGGAAAATTGAATTAGAAATTCAAAACAATAAGATATTTAGAAAAAGAACAAAATGTTTAGAAAATAAACAGTACTCTCTTGACCCATGGGTCAAAGAAAATACAGGGGTAAGTTAATATATATATTAAGCTAAATTGTAATGAAAGAACAATATGTCAAGGCTTTCTGGATACAGCTAAAGTACTGCTCCTTGAGAAATTCGTAGCTTTCATTGTTTAAATAGGAAAAAAAAGGATAAAGTCTGTTTTTAAAATTTTTTCTTCAAGAAGTTAGAAAAAGAAATCCAAAACAAACCTCTAGAAAGTAGAGAGAAGAAAATGTGAAAGAAAAAATTAAAATAGAGAGAGATGCAAATCAAAACCACATTGAGATACCATCTCACGCCAGTTAGAATGGCGATCATTAAAAAATCTGGAGACAACAGATGCTGGAGAGGATGTGGAGCAATAGGAACACTTTTACCCGGCTGGTGGGAGTGTAAATTAGTTCAACCATTGTGGAAGACAGTGTGGCGATTCCTCAAGGACCTAGAAATAGAAATTCCATTTGACCCAGCAATCCCATTACTGGGTATATATCCAAGGGAATATAAATCGTTCTACTATAAGGACACATGCACACGAATGTTCATTGCAGCACTGTTTACAATAGCAAAGACCTGGAACCAACCCAAATGCCCATCGATGATAGACTGGATTGGGAAAATGTGGCACATATATACCATGGAATATTATGCAGCAATCAGAAATGATGAGTTTG